CTTGTGGGTAGGCCACCACTCATGTTTTTTGCTGAACCCTCTGGTTTTGAATGTGAACACTAATTTTTGGAATATAACCGCTTTGCATTTGTGTACTTGATAATTGGAATGATCATTCTCATCCCAATTTTCATTGGAATCCTGAAGAAGTTTTTCAGTGTTACCTCATTAACTTCCTGGCTGGAGTAGAATCAGGCCATATTAAACAAGTTTTGTTCTCAGTTAATGGAATGTAGCCAACTGTTAGTCATTCTTTCTAGAGGAATCCCAGGGACCATGGCAGCTGTTGGGTTGAAACATTTTATTGTGGATGCAAACTTATTTTCCATGTTCACAGCATGACCAGAGGTGAGTCCATTCATATCACTTGTCCCTGGATTGTTCTCCAAGCCATCACCGTAAGAACCAGGGCCTCCGTTGAAGCAGAGAGTAAAATGAAACTCCACAGCTTATGACTTCTTTACTGTTCTGTGCTGGATTTGTACAAGCTGGTAAATACCAGTTTCTGTGCATGTGCCCATCCAAAGGACCGCATTTATTACAGAAACTAGATATTGGAAAATTATCTATTTTCTCCCATAGCTATGAACTGACTATATGCAGCATTCATATGTATATACATTTGCTGATATTTTGTGACTAGAACCCATTACCTGGACCATTGTCTGTACCGCAGGCCGACGCTCCAACCGCTGCGCCAAACCGGCCAGGGCTGGACCATTGTCTTTATGGTTTTGTTCTGTTACAAGACTAAGTATTGGCTCCAGATCATTCATAGGAATTCAATCTCAGCTAGTCGGTAGTTCCATTTTCTGGTCCTGTAGTGAATGTTGAGGGGGTGTATTGATGCTAAATATACATAAGATAATTTCTGTGTTTCATGTGGTTATTAGGAAAATAGATGAAGCAGACATTGTCCCTCAGTTTAGAGGCCATTCTGTGTTCATTTTGTCTAGAATGCATATTCTTCTGATTAGTGGTGTAAAGCTCTAAATCAGTGATTTTCAACTTTTTTGATCTCATGGCACACATAAAGTACTGAAATTCAAATTATATATATATATATATATATACACACACATACATATATACATATATATAAAAATAATCAGTCTGCCAAAAAATAGATATAATTTTATTTTTTTAATCCTCATCAGCGAATATATTTCTTCTCTTTAAAGAAAATTTTTTTAATTGATTTTAGAGAGGGAGGAAGGGAGAGGGGGAGAGAGTCAGAAACATCCATGAGAGAGAACATCGACTGGCCACCTCCACATGTCCCCCACGGGGTCCCGGCCCACAACATGGGCATGTGCCCTGACCAAGAATTGAACTGGCAACCTCTTGGTGCAGGGGTCGATGCTCAACCACAGAATCACACCAGCCAGGCAGAGGATATTTTTCTATTTTCAGATAGAGTGGAAGGTAGAGAGAGGGAGAGAAGGGGAGAGAGAGAAACATCGATGGGAAAGGGACACAGCAACTGGTTACCTCCCACACAACCCGACCAGGGCAGGGGATGGACCCCAACTGAGGTACATGCCCTTGACTGGAATCAAACCCGTGACTCATTGGTCTGTGGGCCGATGCTCTACCGCTGAGCTAAACTGGTTACCTCCCACACAACCCGACCAGGGCAGGGGATGGACCCCAACTGAGGTACATGCCCTTGACTGGAATCAAACCCGTGACTCATTGGTCTGTGGGCCGATGCTCTACCGCTGAGCTAAACCAGCCAGGGTTATCATTTTAATTCATTCACACCACACAGTTATTGAGTTGACTGTTGTCATTTTTTAAATTTGACAACCTATTGGAAAAGTGTTCTGTGCTCCTGAATAAATAGGTCTTGCCTTGTTTAAAAATTCTTGTGATAGGACAAATGAGTGAAAGTAATGTTTTTAAATTTTTTAAATTCTTGTGGTATATCTTATGGATGTGCAGTGAATAACAAATGATTACTGTTAAAAATCACTTTCGGCCCTGACCTGTGTGGCTCAGTTTGTTGAGTGCCATTCCATGCACCAAAATATTGGTTCAGTTCCCAGTTAGGGCACATACTCAGGTTGCGGGTTTGATCCCAAGTCAGGACATATGGGGGAGACAACTGATGTTTCTCTCTCCCTGTCATTCTCTCTCTCTCTCTCCAAATAGAAATGAAAACATCGTTTTGAAAATCAAACATTCAGTATGGCCAGTGTGGCTCAGTGGTTGAGCATCGCCCCATGCATCAAGAGGTTGCTGGTTTGATTCCCGGTCAGGACACATGCCCAGGTTGTGGGCCTGATCCCCAGTGGGAGGCATGCAGGAGGCAGCTGGTCCATGTTCTCTCTCATCAATGTTTCTATCTCTCCCTCTCACTTCCTCTTTCTTTGAAGATCAATAAAGGAAAAAAAAATCTAAAAATTCTAAATTTTTTTTTTTAAATCACATTTATGCCCTGGCCGGTTTAGCTCAGCAGTTAGAGCGTTGGTCCATGAACCAGAGTCCAGGCTTCGGTTCCCGCTGAGGGCACGTACCTTGGTTGCAGTTCGTCCCTGGCCCTGGTTCGAGTCGTGTGGGTGTCTCTCTCACAATGATGTTTCGCTCTCTCTCTTCCTACCTCTCTCCCTCCTACTCTATCTGAAGATAAATGCAAAAATGTCCTCAGGTGAGGAAGAAAAAAATCACATTAATTATACATTTTTAAATGAATTATGTTATCTATCAACCCTCTTTTACCTTTAGTTCTATGAACTTTTTTTTGTTTAAATTTTTTGAGGTTTTTTTTTTTTTATCCTCTCCCGAGGACATTTTTGCTTTTATCTTCAGATAGGGAGGGAGGGAGAGAGAGAGAAACACTGAGGTGAGAGAGACACTGGTCGCCACCCACATGACCCCAACCCGGGCCAGGGACAAACTGCAGACTCTGGTCCGCGGGCTGAGACTCTGGTCCGCAGGCCAAGCCAAACCAGCCAGGGCAACATTTTTTTTTCTTCATCCTCACCAGAGGATATTTTTCTGTTTATCTTCAGACAGGGTGGGAGAGAGGGAGGGAGAAAGGGAGAGAGATATATCGCATGAGAGGGACACATCAATGTTTCTCTCCCTCCCATTCTATCTGAAGATAAATGGAAAAACATCCTCAGGTGAGGATTTTTAAAAAAGCAAAGAGATATTGGAGATGAGGCAGGCAGTCTCTGCCCTTTGTTTTTGTTTTTAGCTACCTCTCTCAGCAGTTCCATGACTTCATTTTGAGATATTTCTGGGGCTGGCTTGGGTAGGGGGCGGACAGGCTCAGGCCCCTCCAGAGTCTGGTTCTCAGGCAGGTGGTTTTGGGTTTTTGCCTTCAGGGCTCCTGCCTAGCCTCTCACTAGGCACCCCCACCCCTTCCGAAAGCTCTGCTCAGGCCACGCCCCTATCCCTCAGGATTTTTCTTTTGCTTCCTGCAAACCAGTCAGAAGCCTGAGTAATCACTTTGTCCCACCCCTGCAGGGTTTCCCACAGGTTTCTCCGGGTCCCTGCGCTGGCCTGTCTTCTCGCAAACTGCTCTTTCTCTTTCGGCTGAGCTACAGACAGGCTCCTTCACGAATTTTTTTCTTTTTTTTTTAATACAATTATTTTTATTTATTTATTTACTTTTTTAACCCTCGCCTGAGTATATTTTTCCGTAGAGTTTAAAAGAAAAAAATTTTTAATCCTCATTCTAGGATATTGTTCCATTTATTTTCAGTTAGAGTGGAAGGGAGAAAGAGAGAGAAACATCCCTGTGAGAAAGCTACCGGGCCGGGATCCAACAGCCACTGAGGTCGCGTGCCCTTGGCAGAAATTGAACCCACGACTCTCGGTGGCATCAAACCCACAACCCCTGAATCCTCCGAGGCTTTAACTGCTGAGCTAAACTGGCCAGGGCTCTTGCAGAATTTTTTTTTTTTTTTTTATCCTCACCCGAGGACATTTTTCCATTTTTTTTACAGATAGAGTGGGAGGGAGAGAGAGGAAGAGAGAGAGAGAGAGAGAAACATCGATGTGAAAGGGACACATCGAGTGGCTGCCACCCGCACTACCAACCAGGGCCGGGGACAAACTGCAACCGAAGTATGCGCCCTTAGCGGGAACCGAACCCGGGTCTCTCCGGACTGCAGGCCAACGCTCTAACTGCTGAGCCAAACCGGCCAGGGCCTCTTTCAGAATTTTTATTTGACTCTCAGGATTGCAGTGTGGGCAGGACCCCTCCCTGGCACTCCAGCATGGCTAGGCTCTGCCCAGACCCAGCCTGGGAAGCCTCTTCCCGGCCCCCTCTCTCTTGCGGGAACTAGGAAGGGGAGAGTTGGAGCCAAGGTCGTGCTGTGGAGCTGAGTTCCTCCTTCTGGTTTACACTCAGGTTTCACAGTCGGTCCTTCTGTCAGGGTCTGGGGTATCACCCTGCACCTTTATGTCGCCGAAGCCGCCCTGCCTTCCCTGTGCCTCGCTGCTCCCTGTAGGGTTCCAGTGGTGGCCCCGCTGATCCCCACCCTGGGCTTTCTGCCTTCCTTCCACGTGGACCTGCCTGTCCATGCGGACCTGCCTGTCGCATTGTTTTCCGTCTTCCCCTTTACTGACCCATCAGCTGTCAGGCGTTGTCTAGTTTTCTTGTAGGGGGCCTTCACACCCCTACCCTCACTCTCCAAGTCGCCCCCTCCCAGGCAGCGGTCTTCACACTGTACCAGGGGAGCCCGGGTCCTCCCCTCTCCTCCATTCTGGAATCCTTAGCCCTGTCCCGTGACACCCTTCCCATCCCTAGACCTCACGTCCTTCTCTATCCCAGTGTTTTGGCTTCTCAGGTTTGCCCCTGGTGGACACTGCTCTGCCTAGGGTTTAGTCAGGGCCAACTATGGGACCTGGAGGGGGTGTCAGGTCTGCAGAGGTTGCTGCTGCTGCTGCTGCTGCTGTGTGTGTGTGTGTGTGTGTGTGTGTGTGTGGCACAAGAAGGGAAGGAGGGGAGTATGTTGATATTTTCACTTATCCATGTTGACTTCTAAAGGTTCCGGTTACCTGAAGAGGCAGCCCAGAAGAAGAGGAAGAGGAAAGAAAGAGGGTTCAGCAATGGCTCTTTCTGAGGTGAAGTCATGGTCTCATTTGATTGTTGTGTTTCTCTTTCCTGAAATGCCCTTTGACTTGCTGACCTTCTCTGACTCTGAATTGTCCTGCCTGACATTTGTTTGTTCACACTCAACCTGGGCCTTCCCTCAGTCCCTCTCATCTCTAGTTATGTTCCATCTCACCATGCACCAGTGAAGTGGATACTTTTATCAACCAGGATAAAAGAACACGCACACAGAAGTCTCGTAATAACATGCACAAATACTTGGTAAGTTCTAGAAAAGGAACCAATTGACAGAAATCTTTCTGACTGCTTTTATATTACATTTGAAGTTGACCCGTCCCGCAGGTCGAGCAACGAGGACTCTAGAGGGGGAGTGAGGATGAGGAGGGACAAGAGACAAGAGAAATGGAGACAAGACAGGGTTCTGATCAAGTCTTGTTTATTCAAGGGAAATTCATAGAATATATAGGGCAAGAAAAACAGGAAGCACCTGTTGCAATTCCAGGCAATACCACAAAAGGAACAAAAGGTCAGCAAAGACTGGCTTGTTGAGTAAATGGTTACTTAAAGAAATGAAGAATGCAGAGATAAAGAAATGCAGAATGCAGAGATATCCTGCCTTGGGGCAGGAGATGCTTAGCTCAGTTTTAACAAAACCACCCAGATTTTAACAAAATGGATGCCTTGCAAAAAGTCTCCCAGGTGAAGTTAAATGAGTGAGTCCCTGACTTCAAAACCTTCCTGATTGGGAATGAAGAGGAAAGTTGACAAACAGACTTTAGTGACGTGGTGTTTCATTCCCTCATCAATTTTAAAATAGGAAATCAACAGAAATGTCTGAAAGTTGAGATGGTTTTTATCATCCATTTCTTGGAGGTGGCATTTTCCCCCTGTGGATTGTATCCTCTAACACAGAGAAGACTTTGTGTGATGCAGGTAAGGATTCATCCGTGGTTTATTTCAGGGCATTCTCTCTGTTCCATTGGTTTATGTATACATGTTATTTCGGTATCATATCGAGTTGATTACTTTTGCTTTGTGAAATGTTTTTCAATCTAAATAAGTGAATCTTCCAACTTTCTTCTATTTTAAGAGTGTTTTGGTTCTCCTGGATCTCTTTTGCTTGATTCCATATGAATTCTAGTGTTTTGTTTTTTGCCAAAATTGCCTTTGACAGTTTGGTAGGGCATCTGTTTATTCTGTAGGACACTTGGGTAGCTTGGACTTATTAAGGAATGTCTTTTATTTGTATCTGCTTTCTTTAGCATTGTTTGTCATTTTCAGTGTATAACTCTTTCACTGTCTTGGTAAAATGGGTTGGTCTTTAATGTTTGTCTGTGTATTATATGTGGAATGTTTTCTGCCTCCGCATGGCATTACTAAGGGGTGATTTTTTATTGGCATAAAGATATTAAATGCTTATATAGGTTGAACAAAATCCTGTGGTCTAAACAAAGTATTTAATACTAAAACTGGCTTAAGTTTGATTATGTCTTTTAGAGTTATTATGATAAAATATATGTTTATTTTACCGAGATTTACAAAAGGTGTGTAATATAATCTTCTGGTTAAGTACATTTGATAGTTTTCCCAAAGTTTAAGTTTTAAAAGATTTTTAACCAACACATGACTTTGATTTATTCAAATAAATCCTGGAATACTTCAAGGATTTATTCTCTCTCCTTATCAAAGAAATATTTTAAAACTAATTAGACCTATTGATTGATTTTTATCCTCACCCAAGGACATTTTTTCATTTTTTGTTCAGATAGAGTGGGAGGGAGAGAGAGAGAGAGAAACATCTACGTGAAAGAGCCACATCGGGTGGCTGCCGCATGCACGACCTACCAGGCCCGGGGACAAGCTGCAACTGGTTCCCTTAGCGGGAACCGAACCAGGGTCTCTCTGGACTGCAGGCTGACGCTCTAACCGCTGAGCCAAACCAGCCAGGTCCTAATTAAACCTATTTAATATGCTTAAAATTACATGGGAAGCTTTGCCAAATAAAAAATGATAACTATTCTATTTGTATACATATATTTTTATTAAAATGTTTTAAAAACTTCAGTCTGCCCTAGGGAGGAACTTGCAAAGATTCAAAGCCAAGTTCAAACAGGGAGTTCCCAGGGGTAGCAGGTGTCCTGTCAGTGACACGGAGCAAACCACAAGTGATGATTTGCGGGGGGGACATCTGGCAGTGGCACTCCAGTGCTTGTGATCCACACTTTGGAAGTTTATGAAATATTTTCAGTGCTAAATGCACACTTTTGATAAGCCATGGGCAATGTTTTAAAATTTTGCATATTATTTGTTCTTTATATATTGATATTGTGTTTTGAATCTAAATCTATTTATCTGTCTGGACTTTATATTATTCTCTATGTGATTTTACAGTAATTATTCACCAAGAAATTATTGTCTTGAAATATATATTACCAAAAAAAGGTTTTTTAATCAATTACATTATATTCAAATCTATAACCATTTCACTTTAACATCTACCATTTATAGACAGTCTTTGTTTTACTCTGATACATTTGAGTAAATGTGTGTTATATCATTAGAAAAATCCAAAAAAAGGACTCTGACTTGCTCTAATTATAGGTCTCTAAACAGGTCCTATCTTTAAACTATATAAAGATTTATAAATCTCTAAGAATAACTGTATTCATGAAAATACTGGCAAATAATAAAAATAAACAAAAAATGTGGTTATGGGACTAAATAAACTGAAAATAATTACTATTCTTATAACTCTGTTTTAAATATTGCTGATTTTTAAATCTTTTTATTTTTCAAATATAAGGAAAACTAAAAGGAAACATTCTACATTATTATCAATGACTCATTAACCAGGTTATAGGGACTGCTAAAGTAATAACATTCATTTCACATTGTACTCCCAGAAGACAAAGACTTCAAAGACCACAACTTACAACCAGAAACATTTTCTCCATCGAAAAAGAAGTGAATTTAAAACTCTCTCCAACAGTGTTGGAAGGGACCTTATGTTATCAGGTGCCTCACCAGGAATGGACATCTTCCCCCTCTCTGACACTTGCCTCTATCTACAAGAGAAATCAAAGACTTTTCAAAAATGAAAAGCCTGAACATAAAAATAGCCAGCCATCATAACAAGGCCTGTATATCACAAATTGACGTTACTGCTAATATCACTGCTAATAATTATGTTTGTTCTTTATGCTTTTCTTGAGATATATATATATATATTCATTCCAACAATTAATAATTACTGAAGGTGTATATTATGCTCTCAAACTATAAATAAATATTATACTAGATACAAAATATATTAAAAAACCTTAATCATAATAGCTTATAGATTAAAAACATTCCAGAGTTAATAGAAGTCCATAAGACCTGACTGCCTCCCATTTACCTGCCTTTCACTTTAGGAAAAAAAAATTTTTTTGGCTTTGACTTTCATCCAAGGTTACAGTCTTGTCCCATCCCCAACAGTCTATTATTCAGCAAGACAAACACTAATACTGAGACTTCCTCGAAATGAGCCTTCCCAGCACTTTGAGACCTCTTATGAAACCAAAAGTTTGGTCATCAATGCATCCCTTGGATTGATTTGTGACCAAAAAGGGGATGTGTGGATGAAAAGGGGCCACATGCTAACTTAAAAAGCTCAGGGCAGGCCTGTGTGATGGCCTGGCAAACTCAGAGACTTGAAGTAACCACAAAGGATGTTCTGAAATTAAAAACTTTCTAACTAAAAGAAGTTTATGGCAGCTAGTCATGTCCGAGGCTAGAATCTTCCCTGACAAAAGTCAGTCTTTACCTTAACTAAGCCTGTGTATTGTCTTTTGCATCTAAGAGAACATCCTTTGGAATGTCAGGGTAACTCCCCTTTTTCCAGACCCCTCAGGGCACAGTCAATGCACTAGGGCACAACCAATACATCAGGGCAAAGACAAACAATCTTCTGATTGATATTGTGGTAACTGTTGACTGTTAACTGTCCTGTGCCCACCTACATAAAAGATGTATGTGTCTGTGATTTTACTTTCGCTCCAACCCCAAAGGTTTCCCTGCTTTGATTTCTGTCTATTCCCTAATCTATAACCAGTGTATTTCATATAACCCACTTCGGTCTTCATTTTTAATGATAATGTATAAAATAAGGTGCAGTATCGCCATTTTGTAGAACATTGTCAATTTGTTAAAATGTTGTTTCTTGACAGTTGACAGTTTGGCTCAAATTTACAGAAATTCACTATGGGTTTGAATGTGTCGTAAGTTCAGAGGAAGATGTTAAAATATAATGCATTGAGCAAGGTATTTAACCAAGAGTTAAATATTACTAGTCAGTATATACATCTAAGAGAAATCTGAAAGCTGTATGTGTGGCAAAGATCTTATCTAAACTTGATTCCTTGGAGGGTCCCCATAATATTAATGTTGGAAAGCAATGTAACAAATGTAGGAGTGATGACGTGGGTAACTCAAACGCAGTGAACAGGGAAAGACCATCACCCTTGAGAGTGAAGTGTAGGGAGCCGGGACCTCCCACAGGCGTCAGCCCCTTCCCTCCAGTCCCTGACTGCACAGCCCTGGCCACGTTCCCGGCCCCTCCCCCATCCCCGGGTCCGGAGCTCAGGCTCTGACCCCGCCCATTTATTGCCGGGAGGAGCATGCGCAGTAACTCGCAGTCGCGGAAGCGGCGGTGGAGCCGCGCAGGTCACGCGTCGTTTCTGCCGAGGGTCTTTCTGAGGTGAGGCCGCTTCCTCCGTCCTCTCCCTGCGCGGGGACGGCGGGGGCGCTGCCGCCGGGAGTCCTGGTTGGACCCGCTCCCGAGCCTCTGCCGGCGGGGGTCCGAGTCCACGCGGGACGCTGCGCCGTGGAGGCTCCAGTCCGTCTCCGTGGAAACGGAGCCGCGTCCGCGGTGGTGCCTCCGCCTCCGGCCGTTGGGCGCCGCCTGCCCGCGGTTCTCCTGCTGGAAACGTCCCCTGGCCGCCGGGGCCCCGCGGCTCCCGGTCCGGGTGAGCGACCCCCTGCGCCCCTCCCCCGCCGCACCGCTTTCGGCCCCGAGACCGCACGCACGGCTCCCGGCCTGGGGTCCGCACCCCGCCTTCCCGAGCCCGCTTCCCGCCGCACGAGGGGTGTCGGTGCCCGGACAGCGCGGGCGCCCTGGGGGGGGCTGAGCCGGGAGACGCGGCCCCCGGAGAGGTCCCGCCGCGGGCAGCGCGCTGTGGCGGCGGCGGCTGCGGAGGGGCGGGAGCCGGACGGAGAGCGTGGTCCTGAGGGGAAGAGTTGGGGAGCGAGTGCAGGGGCGGAAAGGGCTTCAGGGGTGACGGGCCGAGGGAGACACAGCGCTGAGAGGCAGCCCGCTGTGGGGACGGGCAGGACGGGCACAGGGCACGGGCCGGGCAGGGGTCTCAGAAAGAGGCGGGGAGCCCCTGACGGCGGGGAGGTTTCCAGAGTGTGCGGGGCAGGTGCAGGGACAGGAATAGAGAAAAGGGGAGAAGGAGCCGGGGACGGGGAGGGGAACAGGAAAGGACAGCAGTGCAGAGAGGGGAACAGGGAGGCAGACAGATCTGCAGACAGAAACACACAGGAGCTGGGAGCCCGGGACTGGATCTGGGTGACTGCTGAGCTGCTGGGGTCTGGGTGAGGAAGTTGGGATATATTGGCTTGTGGTTTATGTGTGTGATATAACGTGAGCTGTATTGTTGATAGGGGCTGCGACTCTTATAATTATTTGCTTCTAATAGCTAACATTGTTCATACAGTGGGGAGAGAGTTGTCTGTGGTCTTAGGTCCCCTTTCATTTCTTGGGATGGCTAGAAGGAGGTGAGCTGTGACAAGAAATGACTGAGTCTGTCTCTAGGTGATGTGTTAGAATATTAGAAGCATGAGGTCTTTTTTTCTTCTCTCACATGGATTTACTTTTTTTTTTTTTTTTTAATTCTCACTCAAGGACATTTTTCTATTTTTTGTTCAGATAGAGTGGTAGGGAGAAAGAGAGAAACATCGATATGAAGGACACATCAAGTGTCTGGGACAAACCGCAACCGAGGTACGTGCCCTTAGCGGGAACTGAACCCAGGTCTCTCTGGACCGCAGGCCAAAGCTCTAACTGCTGAGCCAAACCAGCCAGGGCTGGATTTACTTTTTTAAAATATCTGACATTTAATTCATATTTAGAAAACACCCTGAGATAAATCCTACTGTGTTAACCATCTGCTTTTTGTAAATAGTCATTGCCTTCTGAAATAAGCATTGTTGACATTTCATAACCATCTCTTATCATTTTGGTAAATATATAAGGAGTGTCAACCTTTTTCAAACTTTAGACATAGAAATCACATTTATAAAACAACAATCCAAATTGTTTTTCATTTTAAATATATTGTGTCTAGTTTAGATTCTGAGGCCTGTAGCCTTCCTACTGTTTATCATACGTCAAAACATCCATGAGTACTTCGGAAATAGTATTAGGTTATTTCCGTGTGCACTTGTTAAAGAGGTCAGTGATCTTAACAATCAGAACTTAGTTCTGAGTTCATCTAATGTTCATTAGGTTTTTCCTTCCTTTTATGTGATTTGTTGAATTAGTGACTGTGAGCCACAGAGGAGCTGTCCCCCTCAAGTCCCTCTTGTCCATTCTCTGAAAATACTGAAGGATGGACTGAATTGACCTCAAACTTGGTTCCCTCAGAGCATTTGATCAGCATATTTCAATAGCTAGCTTTTTTCAAAGGTTTTAGCATAAAGATCTTCTATTTTCTGTTATTTCCTGAGAAAAGAGGAAGGAAATCTCCTCGGAACCGTGCGCTTCTAGAAGTTCCTGCCTCAACCCCTCACACTACCCAGAGGTCTCAGATCTTCCCGGTCTGATGTTTGTCACCTAGTGCTACTGAATACTGCTCTGGGGGAGAATCGCAGGCTCCAGGAGGGAACTAGTTCAAGATGCCATATCATGGGTCCTACTGCACACCTGCAGATCTATCACTTAGATCCTAAGAGAACTGGATGCTTCCTAAAGCTAAACTGTTCCCCTCTGGATTCTTTTTAGGTCTCCAGAGAGTTTTTTCTTTTTTTTTTATCCTCATCTGAGGACATTTTTCCATTTTTTGTTCAGACAGAGTGGGAGGGAGAGAGGAAGAGAGACAGAGAAACATCGACGTGAAAGGGACACATCGAGTGGCTGCCACCCACACGACCAACCAGGGCCGGGGACAAACTGCAACCGAGGTACGCGCCCTTAGCGGGAACCGAACCCGGGTCTCTCCGGACCGCAGGCTGACGCTCTAACCACTGAGCAAACCCGGCCAGGGCTCTAGAGAGTTTTAAGAAAAAGACATTAGGTGTGCTTTCCCCCATAGATTTGGTCCACTGCTCTTGGTGGGGCCTTCTTGTTTACTGAGGTGCTACTGGTGCTTGCAAGGGGAGCCCCGGAATTGGTAGGAGGGCTCCAGGATGCATTTGTGAGGTGGAGAGCGGTTTTGTTAAGGGATGGTAAGTAGATACTCCATTAAGTTTGGGGGTTCAGGAGAGGAGCGCATGTTCTCATTGCTGTAGGAGTTTGTGGATGTCTTTGGAAGGAGAGAGTACAGAAGACAGAAAAAAATGCTGTCAGAGCTTGGTCTCTGTGTAGGAGCTCATTGTTCTGACTCTCTCCTGTGACAAGGGACAGGAGAGGGTGGCCTTTTCAGCATTTCCAGGTTCTTCTGACTGTGACTGTGGTGTGAGCTGATTAAGGGCTGTCTGGACAAAGCTGAAGACACAACCTGTGACTCCTCAACATATCATCGCCTGAGAAAACAACCCTGCGCAGGAGCAGGACCAGGACAAAATGGCTGCTTCTCAGGTAAAAGATGTGTCGTGTGTCAGAGGCTGTGTCTGCTTTTCCTCTCACATGGGTGGATTTAGAACCTGCAACCTTTATTTCTCTAGTTCTGATGTTCTTGCCTAGTGAGACTGTTTAATTATTTTATTCCCTTTTCCTTATGGTCAAGGTCAGCAGGTTGTATACTTTTCTCTGTCCCAGAGCCGGTTGTGCATTCACTTTCTGCAGGCTCCCCCAGATTAGGAAGCATTTCCACGTTTAATTCATGATTTTCAACTCTGGAAAACATCCCTTTCCTGAAAGATAAACCTGGGAAGGTGCCCATGTCTAACATCCCTATTGGGATAGGGTCAGGGGCTTGGGTGTCAGTGAAGAAGGGAAATGGAAGTTTTAAATAACGTGGTTGCCACATGAGCTCTGTAGATCCAGGTATAAAAATGCATATTTACTGCTCATAATAGCTCAGAAAGTTCTGAAAAGAAGAATAAATAGAAGAGACCTGTTTACTCGATTGACATGAAAGACTTGCTATTTAAATGTACTATTTTCATATAGAACATGAAAGGTTCACATGGATTGACACAAAAATTAATGTTTATTTGTGATCATTTTCACATAATGATGTCTTTATTCATATATTTTTGCCAGCGATGCCAAACAGTGAGGACAAGTCCTTCCCTGTGCCTCAGTCACCTGATATTCATGCTCCATTCCATTTGATACTCAGTTGGGGGTGGTGTTTTGTGCACTACAAAGCTAATAGTTTCCCTTTTTCAGTAACAAGGGTCTAGTAGGGATTTAATGGGAGATGTGCAAAAACCATCACACTTCATCTGGAAACTCCCCTCCTCCCCTCTTTTACTTTCTGTTTCCTTTGGAAAATGAAGCCCCTACTTTTATTTCCTATAGATCATTGGCTTTTGACTTGCGCGCTTTAACCAATCAGGCCTTGTTCTTGTAAATGTTCATTATATTCTACACTCTACATTATCACTTTTTGTATTTTCTAGAAGGTTTACAAGAATCATACTAATAATGTAAGTTCAATTCATTTAAATATCCACAATATAGCTGTCCACTAATGATACACAAAAATTAAAAAAAAAAACGGCCAAGAATCAACAGGTCTAACTTCATTTCTGTCATTATGTGAGTTCTCCTTATTGTGTTTATAAAACATAGAGGGTATCATTCACTTATAAATTCATGAGATTTATAGAATCGCAAAATAATCTTGATTTTGTAGTTCTCGTGTGTTTTTCTGTGTACATAAAATATTAACATTATTTGAGTTACTTTTTCTACTTGCTAAAGATGTGTTTTTTGTTCTCAGTTACAGAAACTGCTTTGAATATTGATGCGGTTTCTTTGTGTGTATTGGCTTGCTTTTTTTTCTTTTTTGAAAAATTGTAGATCAAGTTTGGAGTAAATTTCAAGGTTTACCTTTTACTGTATGTCTCATAAAATATATTCATCTCAGAGGCAGAGTAATCTTGTTCTACGACTCTTCATAGTAAATTTTCAAATAGAATTATGGTTCCTATGTGTCCTATTTCATGAGAACTGTAAATTTCATAAAAATTCTTTAGTTCAAAGTTATGTATGAATTTTTTCCTTTGTTTTCTTTTTCTGTGCTATCCAGAAGGATAGCACATGGACTAGAGTCATTGGCACCATTAATAAAAACCAAGTTGGTTCAACATGTGGAATCAGACTCTGCATTTTTACAAGTCTGTAGTTCATTGTTGTCCTTGTTGAAATTGAAGAACTTACACTTCCAACTCACCATGAGTTTTCCTGCTGAGAAATACACATGACAGATTCTTAGTGATAAATACAGCACTAAAAAAAATCCATGTACTTGTGTTGATACCTTAATTTTATTTATTTGTTTTTTGTTTTTTGTTTTTTTCTTTGCTACCTTAATTTTAGAGTTTATATTCCTGAAAAGTAACGTCTCTGCAGTGCATTTGTGGACATGTCATCCTGACTTCTCAGTGTTAGAAAATTCTAGTAATATGATTCTGACCCAGTAATGGTTACTGGGTCAGAATCATCTTACTATAATCGAGGATACTCACCTAGGTCAAAACCACTTTTGCTAACACTGTTTTTATGTTGGGTGACATTATAAACTCCTCTGTGTCCCCTTGGTGAAAGCGTCTTTCCTTTCAGGGCCCGCTGACCTTCAGGGATGTGGCCGTAGACTTCTCTCAGGAGGAGTGGGAATGCCTGGACCCCGCTCAGCGGACATTGTACCTGGATGTGATGTTGGAGAACTACAGAAACCTGGTCTCCCTGGGTGAGGATGACTTCCTTCCAGGGTTCCTCCTCCAGCCGCTGGGTTTGTTTCCTTTATTACTTTAATATCTTTTGGAGTATTCTGCTTTGTATGGTAGACTGTCAGAGTCTTGCTCTCAAGGTATAAATTGGGGGTTTTCTGGTGTGGAAAAGAAAGGCTTTGTGATGTATGTGAACAGGAACTCGGTGTCTGAAACTTTACATGTTGTTTAGAATAATTGACACGGAATTAGGAAACAGTATTTTAGATTATTTTCTGGACTATTCCAATATGCTATCATGTCTTCTCCCCTGAACACAAACTTGTCTGGAAATAGGAGAATCTCTGTGAGAACTCAAGTTTCATTTTCTAATAACTAGGTCTTGCTTACTGTAAGCCAGTCCTGGTCATCTTTTTGCAGCAAATGAAGGAGCACTTGGGCCATGGCCGGGTTACTGTCAGAGTGTCATCCTGATACACCCAGGTTGCCGGTTTGATTCCTGGCCAGGGCACATTCAGGGAGCAACCAATGATTTCATAGATAAGTCATACATCAAATGGATGTGTTCTCTCTCTCTCTCTTTCTCTCTCTCTCTCTATCTCACATCAATAAATCAAAATATAAAAACTGTATTAAAAAACAAACTGAAAGAACACTTGGATGTGAAGAGAAACAAGATGATATCTGTTCACTCAGGAAGGTGGGAATGAGGAAACAGGTGATGAGAGGTCCAGAGGTCACAAAGGAAACCAGACCTTCAGTATGGTTGGGAAGCTGTGCTTCAGTGGAAGCCTTTTGAGAGCCCAGGTTCATGTCTGTTGTTGTTGGTAAGAAGTGAATTATAGAATAATCGCACTTCATATCTAGGAAAAGGGTTTAGTTCCTCAATTTAAGTTTACTTCAGGCAAAATCGATGAGGTTTTTCATTTGCTTTTCTCAATGTATCTCTTAATTATGGTATACTTAATCTGAAATGTTTAGTTTAATTTTTTATATTGATTTAAGAGATGGAGAAAGACACAGAGAAATATCAGTTTGTTGTTCCATTTATTCATGCATTTATTGGTTGATTCTTGTGTGTGCAACTGACAACCTTGGCAACCTTGGCACATCTGACCACTGGTCGAACCAACGAAGCCACCCAGCCAGGGCTGAAATGTTTATTAAAGACATTGGCCATTCTCTGCACTTTTTACAAATCGTTTGTGGTTTGTTTTTTGTTGTTGTTTTTTTCATAAATAAGGGTGGGGTTTTTTTTAGTTGTTGTTGTATTATTTGTTTTCACTTTAGGGTGGATCATACCCTATACATTTTGTAAGAATAGCAGAGATATATTAATCATGAAAAATTTTCTCATGTCATATAAATGCTTTTACTAATTGATTTTTATTAGAGAGAAACATTGATTTTTGTTTTTTCACTTGTTTATGCATTTATAGCTTGAATTTATAGGTGCACTGACCAGGGCTTAACCTGCAAACATTTTCATATCATACCATACTCTAACCAACAGCTACCAGACCAGGGCTAATAAATACTTATTTAATAAAATTACACTTTACAGCTAGTTTTGAATGATTTTAATTCATTTCCTGTGAATTTTTCGTGCCATATTACATACTTCGTGATGTAAAATGTTTGCTGTTCATGGAGGCACACTCCCAGTTAGAATTTATAGTGATATAGAAGGATTCTTTTTTTAAAAATCTTCACCTGTGGATATTTTTTCTGTTTATCATCACATAGAGAGTGGGAGGGAGGGAGAAAGAGAAACATTGATGTGAGAGAGACATATCTACTGGTTGCCTCCCTCACGACCCCAACCATGGCCGGGGACGAACCACAACCGAGGTACGTGCCCTTGACCAAGATTGAACCTGTGACTCATTGGTCCACAGGCCAATGCTCTAAACACTGAGCCAAACCAGTCAGGGGTAGAGGGATTCTTTTCCAATAGTACATATATGTAGTATTCAGACTTTTGGGGAGAAATGTTCTGTTCTTGTCCTGTAATTTCCTTTTTTTTCCCTCACTCAATATTATTCTGTACTATTTTCAACTGTACAGAACAGCAGTTTGACAATCATGCTTAGCAACGTGTTCCCCCTGATATTTCAGGTAACCTAGCTGGCACCGTACACAGTTATTACAATATTATTTACTTTATTTCCTATGCTATACCTTACATCCCAATGACTGTTTTGTAAATGCCGATCTACACTACTCAATCCTTCACTGTTTTTTTTTTTCTTTAATTTTTTTTCCTTTATTGATTTTAGAGAGAAAGGAAGGGAGAGGGAGAAAGAGATAGAAATATTGATAAGAGAGAACATCAATTGGCCGCCTCCTGTATGCCCCTCACTGGGGATCAGGCCCACAACCTGGGCATGTGTCCTGACCGGGAATCCAATCAGTGACCTCTTGGTGCATGGGTCGATGCTTGACCACTGAACCACACCAGCCGGACAATTCCTTCACTGTTTTCACCCAGTCCTTCATCCCCCTCACCTCTAGCAACTATAAGACTCTTCTATGTCTATGAGTTTGTTTCCATTTTATTTGTTCATTTATATTGTTCTGTAGATTCCATATGTAAGTGAAATCATACGGTATATCTCTTTGTGATTGAGTTATTTCACTTAGCATAATACATTCTAGCTGCATCCATGCTGTCATAACTGACAAAATTTTGATTTTTTATAGCCATTATTGTTCAAATTTTTTATATATGTTTTTCTTTTTTAAAAAAAAAGAACCCCAATATTTTATTGATTTTTAAAGAGAGGGGAGGTGGGGGGGGGAGAGAAACATTGATGTGAGAATGCAACATCTATCAGCTGCCTCCTTTGTGTTGCCTACCTGGGAATATTCCCTTGGTCAGGAATGGAATCCAAAACCTTCTGATGCATAGGACGATGCCCAATCAGCTGAACCACATGGGCCAAGGCTTTTTTTCTTAAAAAATTTTTTTTTCTTTACTGATTTGAGAGAGAGAGAGAGAGAAACATCGATGAGAGAGGACATCGATTAGCTGCTTCCTGCATGCCCCCACTGGGGATCGGGCCCACAACCTGGGCATGGGCCCTGACCGGGAATTCAACCAGCAACCTCTTGGTGCATGGGTCGATGCTCAACCACTGAGCCGCACAAGGAGGGCATCTGTCATTTCTTTTTAAATAGGTTTTTATTTTTGTTCTCTCTTCTTTTGGCACCAACATGATGCAAATGTTGTTACACTTAAAGATTCCCCAGAGGCTCCTTACACTCTCCTCACTTTTTTTTTATTGTTTCATCTTTTTGCTGTTCTGATTGGATGTTTGTTTTATGCTTCCTTATATTCCAAATTGCTGATTTGATTCTCTGCTTCATTTATTCTACTTTATATTCCCTGTAATTTTTTTATTTCAATTAGTGTTTCCTTCATTTCCTACTCATTTGGATTCCCATGTCTTTTTTTATGCTATTGAAGTCACAAAGTTCCTTGAACATCTGTGTAAGCATTGTTTTGACCTCTGTATCTGGTAGTTTGCTTGCTTCCATTCAGTTCCTTTGTGGAGATTTCTCCTTTCTTGCATTTGGGACCTGTTTTTTTTGTTTTGTTTTTTTTTTCCCTTATCATTTGGCTGCATACTTATGTTTGTTTCTGTGTTGTAGTTAGAGCAGCTCCATCTGCTGGACTTGGTAGAGCTGCCTTAGCAGTAGGTGTTCTGTAGGGCCCAGTGGCTCATCCTGCCCAGTCACTTGAGCTGGGTGCTGCAGGGGTGTCCTGGGGCGGGGGGGAAAACATTGACATGAGAGGGACACATCAACTGGTTGCCTCCCGCACAACCCCGACCAGGGCTGGGGATGAACTGTAATGGAAGTACATGCCCTTGACCGGAATCTATCCCATGACTCATTGGTCTGTGGGCCGACCTTCTACTGCTGAGCCAAACCAGCAAGGGCAGAATTTATATTCTCCTTATGTGAGATAAAAACCTTGTATAATTGAAGGTAGTTTTTTAAAGTTTTATAAATCTTATCTCATTTTTTAAAATGTTTTTATTGATTGTTTAGAGAGAGAGTAAGGTAGGGAAAGAAAAGGAAACATCAACGTGACAGAGAAACATCAATCCGCTGCATCCTCCATGCCTTCTACTTGGGATAAAACCCCCAACTTGAGCTAGTGCCCAGATCGAGCATCAAACTGGTGACCTTTTCGTGCATGGGATGTCGTTCAACCAACTGAGCCACACTGGCTAAGGCTCTCTCTTTTGGATTATATTTATTATTTTCGATTTTGGTAAGAAACATGTGACTAGCCCTATCTGGTGTAGCTCTGTTGATTGGAATGTTGTCCTGTAGAATGAAAGGTTGCCGATTTGAACGCAGAAAGCATTGGATGGATGTTTCTCTTTCTCTCAAAATCAATAAATATATTATGAAACACAAACATTAAAAATTTACCATTTTAAGCATCTGTAACTGTACACTCCTGTCGTATTAAATATACTCACTTTGTTGTGCATCCGATCTCTCGAAACTTCCATCTTGTAGAAATGTCTGAATATACATTAAACAACCACTTCCTCATTTTATTTCAAACCAAGGTCCCCAGCTATCTTTTTTTTTTTTCCCCATGAGGTGGACTACATTAGATTACTCACTTAAGTGAAATCCTATAGTATCTTTCTTTGTGACTTGTGGGCTTTATTTAAAATGTCATCAATTTTCTTTTCATGGTATCAGGTCATAAGATCTATTTCTATTTCATAGTGGAGCCATATTCTGTTGTATGTAAATGGTACATTTTCTTCATTCAGCTATGCATGGATATTTGGGTTGCTTCCACCTATTAAATGCTTTTGTGAATGACATTATAATGGACACAGATGTGCAAATGTCTTGTGCAGATCCTCTCGTGAATTTTTTAAATATATACCTGGAAGTAGATGGTTGTATCATAGGGTCAGTATGTATATTTTTTTTCGCGAATTTGCGTGTTATCCTTGCGCAGGGGCTATGCTAATCTTCTTTGTACCGTTCCAATTTTAATATATGTGCTACTGAAGCGAGCATTCTATTTTTAATCTTTTATAAACACCACTTCATTTTTCATATCTTTTTGAATTTGTGTTCTCTTTATAAATCCCCAGATTTACATGGTACTTATTTGTAAATTTTGGAAAATCCTCCATCTAGTTTTTTTAGTGGCTGCACCAATTTATTTTTATTTTTTTGCTTTTACTTTTATTTTTATTTTTTTGCTTTTAGTCTTTATTTTATGCTGAATTTATTCCCGGGCCATAGGTTTTTGTTTTTTCAGTTTCTTCTGGGGTATCTTTTTCTTCTGTGCAACCTCCTCTTCTGGTTTAGGAACAATCTGTTCTTTCTCAGTGAGGATCATCTCAATGTTGCAGGGAGAGCTCATGTATGGGTTAATCTGCCCATGAGCTCTGTAAGTTCTATGGTGCATCTTGGGGCTGGACGTGCTCAATAACCAGAGAATCTACATCTAAACCCTTAAGTTCAGCATTGCTCTCTGCATTTTTAAGCATGTGGAGCAAAAACTCTGCACTCTTTTTGGGCCACTGACCCCGTTCCAGCTCCACTGTTTCGCCTGGGCACACCTACCAATTCCACCATTGTAACGATGGAAAGGCACACATTGCTTCCGTAAAGTGACATCCTTCAGATACTTGGTGGCTTTTCGAGTATGCATACCTTTGATGGCCTGGGCAATTTCCCGAGTGTTCTTAAAGTGAACACGAAGATTTGAACCTCTTGACTTGCATGATTTTGTGGGTTTTTCTGGATCAAGTGCATAGCGAACCATTTTCAGAGGTCATCTCTGGCTACTTTCAGGAAAAGACCAATTTATTTATAATCGTAGTGACAGTCATGAGTTTTCTCATTTCTCTACATCATTGATAATACTTGTTTCTTGATGTATTAATGATTGCCATCTTGTTAGGTTTTTGGTGGTATTTCATTGTGGTGTCAATTTGCATTTCTCTCATGATGAATGAGTTGAACATCATTTCATAGGTCTAGTGGCCATCTTTATGTCCTCTTTGGGAAATGGCTATTCAAATCCTCTGCTCAATTTTGAATCATATTTTTTGTCTTTTTGGTGTTAAGTTGTGTGAGTTCCTTATGTATTTTGGATACTTTTGCAGATGTGTCATTGGTTGATATCTTCCTATATTCGGTAAGGTTTTTTTTTTCCAATGGTTTTCTTTGTTGTGCAAAAGATTTTTTTTTTTTTTTTCCTCACCCGAGGACATTTTTCCATTTTTTGTTCAGGTAGAGTGGGGGGGAGAGAGAGGAACAGAGAGAGAGAGAAACATCGATGTGAAAGGAACACATCAAGTGGCTGCCACCCGCACAACCGACCAGGGCCGGGGACAAACTGCAACCGAGGTACGCGCCCTTAGCGGGAACCGAAACCGGGTCTCTCAGGACCACAGGCCGACGCTCTAACCGCTGAACCAAACTGGCCAGGGCTAAAAAAGCTTATTATTCTGTAGTCTAATTTTTTTTATTTTTTCACTTGTTTTTTATGCATGGAATATATATCCAAAACAGTATTTCTAAGAGTGATGGTAAAGTTTATTGATTTTTCTTTCTTGAAGTGCTTTTATGGTTTGGGGTCTTATATTTTAATTGATAATACATTTTGAGTTTATTTTGGTTCAAGGCATATGAACGTGATCTAGTTTTATTATTATTGCATCGATATGTTCAGTTTTAATTACACCATTTGTTGAAGAATCTGTCTTTACCCATTGTGTATCCTTGTCTCCTTTCTTGTAGATTCGTTAACTGTCAGATACGGTATTTTTGTTGGATAGCTTTTGTTCTTTTATCAGTTCAGTTCTTTTATTTTACTTTATGGTCTTTTTTTCCCCCAAAAGATTTCTGCTTATCAACCCACTGATAATCTTGGAGGAGCTGTTTTTTCCATGAGAAGTGCTTTTCTCTATGCTTTACTATACTAGTCTTGAGTTCATATATTTTTCTATTGTCATTTTTATATTCATTTCCATGTCTTTCCAATTGTCAGAATCTTTTTTTTTTTTTTTATCCTCACCCGAGGACAGTTTTTGATATTTTGTTCAGATAGAGTGGGGGAGAGAGAGAGAGAAACATCAACGTTGAAGGGACACATCAAGTGGGGTTGCCACCCACATGACCCAACCAGGGCCGGGGACACACTGCTACTGAGGTACGTGTCCTTAGCGGGAAGTGAACCTGGGTCTCTCTGGACTGCAGGCCAATGCTCTAACCGCTGAGCAAACCGGCCAGGGCCAATTGTCAGAATCTTAAACTAAATTTTTAAAATAAGCTATCCACTCCTTTTATTTTTTTGGTTAATCATCACCCAAGGATATTTTTTATTATTATTTTTTTGCTAGAGCGGAAAGGAGGGGGGAAGAGAGAGTAAGAGAAAGAGCGCGAGCGTGAGCGATAAACATTGGGAAACAAACCTCCAACTCTTGGATCTACAGGCCGATGTTCTAACCGCTGAGCCAAACTGGTCATTGCTTTTCTCACTATTCTGTTTTTATTTATCAACTTAATGTTCAAAGCGGTCAGTTTGTTAGTGTCTTATGAATCCCTTAGGTTCTCTACATTTTTCCACATTTTTGTTGGCTTCCCTGTAATGAAATTTTTAATTAACTACATACAAGTTTATTGTTTATTCAACTTGGTCAGGTCTTACATCGATGATTCTACTGCATTTTAAAAATTTGGGTATTGTGTTTTTTCATCATCTTCTCATTTGTGTTGTTTTTTAATATACTTTCTTTTTATTTTTATTTTAGTCATATAAAGTTTTTCTAACGTTATATATTTGTCTGTTTTCTACTCTTCTATTTTGAGATGGTTATTTGTACTTCTTTTTTAGGTAACTTATATATTTATTAGCATTAATATAGTGCTAAGTTCAGCAAATTTACTTTGTTTTTCTGATGATACACTTTTCTTTCCCTATGTATGTTTAAATACCCTTTGTTGAGGTTCAACAATCGGGCTTTATGAGCTTACTTTCTATAGGAGAAAACAAATAATAATCATCTATGGTAGAAATTCTAATTTCTGTCAACACTGTTTTCAACATCTGTATTGCTGGCTCTTTTGTGTGTAATTTCCCAGTTTAAAATGTCCTCTGTTTCTTAGAGTCTGTGGTATCTTTTTCTCCTCGATATATGTCTTTATCACTACAGTCTGTGGTGTTTGAACAGTTTTCCATTATTTCTTTGTAGTAGCCACTTAAGTGCATTCACCTTCTACTGCCATTCTTTTTTTTTTAATCATCACCCAAGGATATCTTCATAGAGAGGGAGAAAGGGGAAAACAGAGAGAGAGAGGAAGAGAGAGAGAAACATTGACGTGAGAGAGACACATCAGCTGTTGCTTCCCACAGAATCCCAACCAGGGCTGGGGATTTACCACAACTGAGGTAAGTGCCCTTGAACAGAATCAAACCCGGGATTCATTAGTCTGCGGGCAAACGCTTTAATTACTGAGCCAAACTGGCCAGATGTGTACTGCCATTCTTTTAGCACTCTGTCCTGCACAACAGAAACATGGCCCTCAGCATACTCCATCTCTCCAGTGAAGAAACTGGGAACTAGGAGTCTTTTCATAATCTAGCCATTGTGTGCCAGTGGTTTTGAGAAGGTGTCATTGGGAAGTATAGGGAACTTTTTGTCCCTCTTTGATGTGGAGTTTCGTCATTATACCTATCTTGAGCTTTCTTTGAACTTTTTGCTTGCTTTTAGAACACAAAAATGTAATTTGATCATTAATTTTGGAAAATTTCAAAGTACATTCACTTGAGTGTCAAAACTGAAAATTTATGTTCTTTCAGCCATGTCATCTGAAGACAACCAGGACTTTTTGCGAAAGCCAGGGATACAACATTTATTTCCTGAAATAATACTGGTAAGGTATGGAAGGTGTGGTTTTGATTATGCATACTGAACGAAAGCCTTCAAATTTAAGGAAGAATATGATAAGAAGAAAGGAAGTTAATATAAACAGAACTAATCTGGGACAGTAATTCATATAAAAGGCCTGTTAGCTAAAGACGTAAAAATATACATTTGGGAAAACTCACATTTTAAAGTCAATTATATTTTCAGATCAGTGCGTTTCTCTATGTCAGGATCAAAAACAATTTTTTACCGTTACAGTTCTTGGAAAGTAAATCTAGGGAAAAAACTAGGAACTCAACCTAATTCATAGTGTGAAGAATCATTGGAATTGTTTTAAATGTAGTGTGGCCCAGCCACTGTGGCTCAGTGGATTGAGTGTTGTCCCATGGACTGAGAGATCCAGGTTCAATTCCTAGTCGGGGCACATGACCCGGTTGCAGCCTTGATCCCCAGTGGGGGCCTGCAGGAGGCCGTTAATGGATGTTTCTCTCACATCGATGTTCCTATTTCTCTCTCCCTTTTCCTTTCTCTAAATAATTAATAAAAACATAATTAAATTTTTTAAAAATGTAGGGTGGCATTAAACTTTCAGTCAATTGTTTCTAAAATTTAGAGTTTTATACTGTACCTATAAAATATAAATGTAATCAATTTGGCCCTGGCCAGTTTGGCTCAGCTGTTAGAGCGTCGGCCTGCGGTCCGGAGAGACCCGGGTTCGGTTCTCGCTAAGGGTACGTACTTCGGTTGCAGTTTGTCCCCGGCCCTGGTTGGTCGTGCGGGTGGCAGCCACTCGATGTTTCTCTCTCTTTCTCCTTCCTCTCTCTCCCTCCCACTCTATCTGTACAAAAGATGGGAAAATATCCTCGGGTGAGGATTAAAAAAAAAATGTAATCAATTTGGCAATTTGTACTTTCTTTATGTTTTATTGATTTTTGGAGAGAGAAACATCGATGAGAGTGAAACATTGATCTGAAATATTAATTGGTTGCCTCCTACTTGCACATTCCTTACTGGGGATTAAGTTTGCAATCTGGGCATGTGCCCTGACCAGTAATTGAACCAGAGACCTCTTGGTGCATAGCATAGTGCTCAACCACTGGTCAGACACAATTTGGCAATTTTTTTAACAAGGAGTCATTATTCTTCCTCTGAGAATTAATGGCTTTTGTTTTTGTTTTTCTATGTCTATATTTTTCATAAACTTGGGAGTTTTTTTTGTTGTTTTTTACTACAACCATCATTGTTTAATAAGTATCACAAAATGATTCTTAAGGAACAAGTATAGTATAGCTGGTACTAAAGTTCTTTTTTTCTTCCATGATTACCAGAGTACATCTTATGGATATAGCAGTTATCAGTGGAATGAACATTGGAAAAATCTTAAGCATGAGTCAGATCCTAGTGATAATCAACTTAATCAGCTTCCAGAGAAACATTATAAAAGTGGGAAAGTCTTTGACCAAATATCAAGTCACAATATACTTCAGGTTATTCATATTATGGAGAAGATAAACAAACAAAGTAAATCTGTCAAATCTTTGAAGCATTCTTCAAATTATACTAAACAAGAGAATATTCATACTGGGAAGGAGGCTTACAAATGGAATCCATATGGGACAGTCTTCAATCAAATATTAAGTGTAAGTAGACTGAAAAAAATCTATACTGCAAGAAAATCTCATACAAGTAAAGATAATGGTAAAACATCTCATTGGTATTCAGGTTTTATTCTAAATCAGAGAATTCGTATGGGAGAGAAGACTTACAAATGTAAAGCATGTGGCAAAGTCTTTAAATGGCAATCATGTCTTACTGTACATGAGAAAATTCATACAAGGGCAAAACTGTACAAATGCAGAGAATGTGGAAAATGCTTTAGTCAGTCCTCAAAATATACTCAACATAAGAGAATTCATACTGGAGAGAAATCTTATAAATGTTCAGAATGTGGCAAAGCCTTTAGTTGCCATTCAAAATGTACTGAACATCAGAGAGTTCATACTGGAGAGAAACCATACAAGTGTAGAGAATGTGGCAAAGCTTTTAGCCGGTCCTCAAGCCTTACTGAACATCAGAGAATTCATACTGGAGAGAAGCCATATATATGTATACATTGTGGCAAAGCCTTTAGCCGGTCCTCAACCCTTACTGAACATCAGAGAATTCATACTGGAGAGAAATCTTATAAATGTTCAGAATGTGACAAAGCCTTTAGTTGCCCTTCAAAATTTACTCAACATCAGAGAGTTCATACTGGAGAGAAACCATACAAGTGTAGAGAATGTGGCAAAGCTTTTAGCCGGTCCTCAAGCCTTACTGAACATCAGAGAATTCATACTGGAGAGAAGCCATATAAATGTATACAGTGTGGCAAAGCCTTTAGCCGGTCCTCAATTCTTACTGAACATCAGAAAATTCATACTGGAGAGAAATCTTATAAATGTTCAGAATGCGGCAAAGCCTTTATCTGCCATTCTAATCTTATTAGACATCAGAGAGTTCATACTGGAGAGAAGCCATATAAATGTAGAGAATGTGGTAAAGCCTTCCGTGATTCCTCAAAGCTTATAGTCCATCAAAGAATTCATACTGGAGAGAAGCCATATAAATGTAGAGAATGTGGCAAAGCTTTTAGCCGATCCTCAAACCTTACTGTCCATCATAGAATTCATACTGCAAAAATACCTTACGTATGTATAGAATGTGGCAGAGTCTTTAGACATTTCAAAACCCTTACTAATCATCAGCGTAGTCATACTGAAGATAAGTCTTATAAATGTGGAGAATGTGGCAAAGCCTTCAGGCGGTCTTATAGACTTAAAGACCATCAGAGAATTCATACTGGAGAGAGACCTTATACATGTAGGCATTGTGGCAGAGCCTTCAGCCAGTCCTCACACCTTACTGTCCATCAGAGAATTCATACAGGAGAGAAGCCTTACCAATGTAGAGTGTGTGACAAAACCTTTGGGCGATCCTCAAAACTTACTGACCATCAGACAATTCATACTGGAGAGAAGCCATATAGATGTATAGAATGTGGCAAAGTCTTTAGCCAGTCCTCAGCCCTTTCTCGACATCGGCGTGTTCATACTGGAGAAAAGCCTTATAAATGTAGAAAATGTGGCAAAGCATTCATCAACTCCTCTAAGCTTACTATACATCGAAGAATTCATACTGGAGAGAAGCCTTATTAATGTAGAGTATGTGGCAAAGCCTTTAACCAGTCCTCAAACCTCACTGTCCACCAGAGAATACACACTGGAGAGAGACCTTACAAATGCATAAAATGTGGCAAAACTTTTAGCCAGTTATCTGGTCTTACTTATCATCAGAGTTCATACTGGAGAGAAGTCTTATCAATATGGAAAATATGACAAAGCCTTTAACCAGGCCTCCTGCCTTAATGTGCATTAGAGTTCATACATGGGAGAATTATGTAAGGAGTGTGGTGGTCCTTTCGTGGCACTGGGAACATACTCAACAATACAGAATTCACAATTGGAAGAAGGCTCATGAATATGAATAATACTAAGCCATTCGTGTCTTAATGTTCATGAAAGAATTCATGAGTAATGTTCATGAGAGAGACTCTACAGATGTAGGACTGTGCTAAAGCCTCTCATTGGCAGTGGAATCAAAGACATCAGGTAATTTGTTCTCAACAGAAGCCTAACAAATGTGGAAAATGTGGCAAAGCCTTTATCTGCCCCTCAGAGATTACTAAACATCAAAATTCACACAGGATTACAAACATTACAAATGTACAAAATGTGGCAAAGCTTTCAACCACTCTTCATAACTTACGCGTCATTAGATTATTCATAGTGGAGAAAAACCACACATTTAAGTGATGCAGAAAACTTCCTTGCATTTGTACTTTGCTAAACATCCAATAACTCATCCTTTGAGAAGGCTAAAAATGTGGAAAATGTGGCAAAACTTATATAACGATTGGTGTTTTACATGATACAATTTGTAGTGGAGAGAATCCTTTCATATGTAAACCATGTGGCAAGGCCTTAAATGTAATTTATGTCTTACAGTAAATTAGAAAAGAATATATATTAGAGAGAAACATTACAAATGCAGAGAATATGGCAAAACCTTTATCCAGCACTCAAAACGTATTCAAGTAAAGAGAATTCATACTGGAGAAGATTCATAAATGGGCCTGTCGTTTGTGGCTCAGTTGGTTGGGTGTCATCTGTACACTGAAAGGTTGCCAGTTCAGTTCCCAGTTAGGGCACATACCCCTGTTGCATGCTTAATTCCTGTGGGCGCTTGCAGAAGACAGCTGATCGATGTTTCTCTCTCCCCTTCTCTCTAAAATCGACAAAAACAAACATATCTTTGGCCCTGGCCAGTTTGGCTCAGCAGTTAGAGCATCAGCCTGCAGACCAATGAGTCACAGGTTTGATTTCGGTCAAGGGCATGTACCTCAGTTGTAATTTTACCCTGCCCCTCGTCAGGTTGTATGGGACACAGCCAGTCGATATGGTTCTGTCACATCGATGTTTCTCTCTGTTTCTCTCTCCCACTCTATCTGATGATTAATAGAAAAGTATCCTTGAGTAAGGAATAAAACAAAAACATATCTTTGGGTGAGGATTTTAAAAATATTTTTAAATGGCTTATAAACGTACAGAGTGGCAAAGCCTTTATGCAGTCTGCAACCCTTACTGACCATCAGAGAAGCCATAGTGGAAAAAAGCCTTCTCAATGTGGAATATGAGGTAAAGCCTTTAATTGCCCCTTAAAACTTACTCGATATGAGATCATTCATACTACACAAAAACTGCATAGATGTAGAGAATGTGGAAAGGCTCTAACCTGTGCTGAACATTTCTTCAACATTGAACAATGCGTGCTGGAGAGAAACTGTAAAAATGTGAAAAATGTAACAAAACTTTAACAGTTGCTCACACCTCATTCAACAGAGAATTTATCTTTAAAATGTAACAAAAATATCAAAGTCTTCAAGCCTCACTTTTAGCTTGGTCAACATCTGATAATTCATAATGGAAAGAAGCATAACAAATATAAAAATATGGTAAATGTCCAGCCAGTGTGGCTCAGTGGTTGAACATTGACCCACACACCTAGAGGTTGCCAGTTCAATTCCTAGTCAGGACACATGTCCAGGTGGTGGGCCTGATGCCAAGTGGGGGACATGCAGGAGGCATGTCAGTCGGTGTTCTGTCTCATTGATGTTTTTCTCTCACTTTCTAAAGTCAATAAAGGAAAAATATATATGGCAAAGTCCTACACAGTATGCAAACCTTACTCAACATCACAATGCATTATCAAGTACTTATTTCAACAATCACAGCTTATTTGAAACATGAGAAGTCATAGTAAGAGAAACATTCGAAAGCAATATTGTAGGAAACCATATAGATGAACTTACAGCCTCAGTGTATGCACAGTGGGGCAAAATTCTACATTCATAATAAAGAATGAAAGACTGTCGTTCAAAATACACATACCACAAAAGCCTGAATGATTTATATCTAAAAGTGACTTTAAAAATGTAAAAACGTTAGTATGTAGTTGAAAATAAATTTTAAAATAAAAATTCACAGTGGAAAGTTAGTAATACTGTTTTAGGTATTACTCTAAATCAGAATACTTGCTATAGAGAAACATTCAAACTTTAAAAACTTAGATAATTTTTAGTATGTTTCAAAATATCAAGGGGATGGATGTTTGGATATGTATAATTACTTAGGGTGTATTTTATTTTATATTGACAATATTTGAGGTATTTTGAGAAGGAAATATTAATGTGATTTCACAGATACTAGATGCTTTTTATTCCTGGTATATGTGTAAAATCATAGGGTTGATTTTTGCTGCTTTAAAGATTTGTGAGCTCTTGTTATTGAATTTCACTCATACCCGCTTTCCCATGGAATATTGAGGACATTATAATGCACAGTGTATGAAGAAAATCTAAACAGAGATGCTGTTTGTACTTGACTTAGAACTTTGTTGTATTCACTAAGCATTTCATCTTTCTGTTGCATTAATGTAAGACAGGAACATAATGAATTCTAACTACTTTCCCCAGATAGTCTTTAAAGAAAATATGTCAACTCATTAGAATGCTGTTGTATCTTTATGGTAGTCATGGATAGATAGAATCCTGTTGTATCTTTATTTTATTTTATTTTTTATCCTCACCCGAGGACATTTTTCCATTTTTTGTTCAGGTAGAGTGGGAGGGAGAGAGAGGAACAGAGAGAGAGAAAAACATGGATGTGAAAGGAACACATTGAGTGGCTGCCACCCGCACGACCGACCAGGGCCAGGAACAAACTGCAACCGAGGTACGTGCCCTTAGTGGGAACCAAACCCGGGTCTCTCTGTACCGCAGGCCGATGCTCCAACCGCTGAGCCAAACCGGTCAGGGCTGTTGTATCTTTATAGTAGTCATAGATAGAAGTGAGGAACGTTAGTTGATGTGGTAGGAACAAAAACATGATCAGGGATATGTGAGGAATCATATACAACTCATCCTCAATTGCATAAAGTTACTCTACATGGATGCGAAGATTGTATGTAAAAATATACTATTTGGAAATGCAGTACAATTACGTCATTAGCAGTCCAATTCCCCAGTGGCCTTAAACATTAAGTAATGTAAAAACAATTCTCCATTATTCATATATTTTTCTTTTTATTGTACATACTGGGACTTTATGATAATTACAATAAAGATTACATGAAATTTTTTTAAAGAGTTGAGCTAAGTCCTGGCCAGTTTGGCTCAGCGGTAGAATGTTGCCCACAGACCAATGAGTTGCAGATTCAATTTCAGTTAAGGACACCTACCTCAGTTGCAATTTGATCTGGCCCTAGTCAGGGTCATGTGGGAGGCAACCAGTCAATGTGTCGCTTTCATGTCTCTCTCCCTTTCCCTCCCTTCCACTCTATCTGAAGATAAATAGAAAAATATCCTCAGGTTGGGATTTTAAAAAAATTGAGCTAGCCTGGCCAGTTTGGCTCAGCAGTTAGAGCGTCGGCCTGTGGTCCAGAGAGACCCGGGTTCACTTGATGTGTCCCTTTCATGTCGATGTTTCTCTCTTCCTCTCTCTCCCTCGCCCTCTAATTGAACAAAAAAATGTTCTCAGGTGAGGATAAAGAAAAAAAAGTTGAGCTAAGCTACTTTATTATATTGATGCCATGCCATGTATTTTATTTATCCAGGAGCCTTGAGTTGACGCTGCCCTCTCCGATTCCATGCACTAGTTAACAGCTCCCAGAGTCAGAAGTAAATATACCTTCCTGACATTCCTCTCTGGCAGCCGCTCTGAGCATCAGTCTCCTGTGTATCTCGGGGGTTTCACCATTTATGGTCCTTATATAGGATTTCTTCATATCTTACCAAAATCCTGCTCTTTTTGTTAAACAATTTCAACAATCTCAGTTTAGCTAGAGATCCCCAAAAGACTCTCTGCATGGTTCCTAATAAAGACACATGCCTTATGTGCTGCTACTCTGCCATCATCCTGCCTTGTTTTCCACATGTAGCCCCTGTAGGCCTGCTGTGTACTTCTCTAGGGTCTGTGAATCAGAAACCTGTCAGTATCAATTTCTCTTGTCTTTTGTGTAACTGCTGCTCACCATCCAATACCAGGTACTCTGCCTAACAAATACTAATTTAAAAAGTCCAACTATAATTAGATAATTCTTTTAAACTTGTGAAATTATATTGTTTTCTGCAAATGTCTTTTTTCTGAGCCTGTGTACATTGGTTTGTGTGGTTTGATACACATTGAATGCAATCTGTAAATATACTAGCCTAACGATATAATCTAGGAATAAGGTCTGAGAAAGAAATGTGTGTATGTGCACCCATACTTTCAGAAACAGTAATAATGGATGTAAATATGTAATTTAAAAATGGACTATGAGCCCTGCCCAGTGTGGCTCAGTTTGTTAAGCCTCATCTGTGCACCAAGAGGTTTCTAATTTGATTCCTGGACTGGGCACATACTCAGGTTTGAGATTCAGTTCCTGCTTGGATTGCATAGAGGAGGCAAACGATAGATGTTTCTCTTTGCATTGTCATATGGGCTGAGAGGTCCCAGTTTGATTATTGCTCAGGGCACATGCCTAGGTTTCAGGCTCTATCCCCAATACAGGGCATGCAGTAGGCAGCCGATTGGTATTTCTCTCTCACATCGATGTTTCTATCTCTCCCTTCCTCTCTCTTAAAAAATAAAAATAAAAACCACTTAAAGAAAACAGGTAATGATTTGCTATCTAAAAATCTTACAGATTCATAATGTGAATTGTTTTCTGTAAATTTAATATTTTGCACATTTATATTTTTCAAATCTCATGATGCTTGGTTTGAGAATCTCACATTGCAGTTTTTTATTTTTTGAAATTTTTTTCTTTATTGATTTCAGGGAGAGGGAAGGAGAGATAGGAACATCCATGAAAGAGAACATTGATTGGCCGCCTCCTGGATGCTCCCTACTGGGGATTTGGCCCAAAACCTGAGCGTGTGCTCTGACCAGGAATCAAACCGGAAACCTCTTGGTGGATGGGTTGACACTCAACCACTGAGTCACACCGACTGGGCTTCTTTACTTTCCTGTGTGTTATATAAAAGGACTGTTTGTTTTCCTTGCTCTGTAGATCATAAAATAATGCTTATTACCTGCCCAGGAATTTTAATAATGGCTTTCAAAGAATTTAGTGATAAATAGAAATCAACTGTAAAATGGA